ATGCAGCAAATGGCCCAAGTCTGGAGACTCAGGCTGTGCCCAACTGTAAAGGGCCCAGGCCCTCAACTGTAGTCTCTAGCCTGGGCACAGGAACTGGGGCCCAAGAGGAAGCTACTGGAAGTTTCCAGCCAGGCCACACACAGCATTCAGGAGGCTGCCACTTCCATACAGGAAGAGAGGCAGCCCAGGTCAGGTATTCTGTCCTACGCGGGCAATGCGGTCACGCTGCTGCGCTGCTGTATTGGACACTGCGCTATGACTAGTGCGCTGGCGGGGCGCATTGAGGTGAGGAGGTGCGCTGCAGGGCAGCAGAGCGCTGGCAGCCATAGCCGGGCTGCTGGGCGCTAGGGGGTAAGAGGGTGATCAGGTGGTCTTCAGGGAAGGAGGCGCGTGTGTGGGTTATCAAGGTCTGACGAGGGTGACGAGATACTGACCTGGTGCATGAAGAGAGGTTGGCTATGGTGTTGACATCATGTACATTGGTCTTCGAGAGTCGAAGTGATCCTGTTGCGTGAACACAGCTGTAGGTAGGATAGTCGAGTAGGGTAGGCTAGGCGCTGGGCGCCAGACAGAGAGGAGCGACTTTGGACACTGTGTTGGTGTGGCCTGAGGGCTTGAACATTGGCTCATTACTTCATTGTATTGCTCTATTTGGATGGATTCTCGGTGCAATTGTGCTCTCTGCTTGTACACTACTACTTTGACATCTGTGTGATTTCGCAACTTGGTTTTCTGTATATCGTTCACAACTTCACACTCATATTCCGTGCACTATGGTGGGGCTTAAGGTTGAACTAAATTTTAAAAAAATGGCCACACTGGTGTTCAAAATTTAAAAGAAAGAGAAATGGGTGGCCTGTGGTGGGGCCAGGGTGGGGCCAAGTGGCCGGAGTCATATTGATGTGGGTGCTAGTCCAGCCCGGTGCAGTTGGGCATTTTTCCGGGTTCCGTGCTGAGCTGGATTGGATCTGGTTCGAGAAACCTACGAAGACCCACCACCCAGTTTGGTACATCAGGCAGAAAATTTTATCCGCAGCTAGGGATGGGTACAATTGTAGAGTTTTTCCCAAATCAGATCTCGGTTGCATACAGGTCACAACATAGACAAGGACTGCCAGCTCTGCAACATGGGTAGGAGAAGAGAAGACGGCAGAAACGAGACATAATAGGAGGCAGGAGAGGAGCGAAGAGATCGGGTGGCATGGAAAAGGGAAGGGAGAATACTGAAGTCTGGACGGAGAAGACAAGTCCTTATGATAGAGGAGTGGTAGAAGAGGAGAAAAGAGAAGAGGAGGTTATGGAGTGTGAAGAAAACAGATTCAAGTGCGGTCAATACCTTTTCTCCTGCTGCAGCAATCTCTCCATCAGGACTTGAAATGTCGGCATCCAGACGCAGGCACAAGGAGGCCGTTGCTTGCAGGCCGAATTCCTGCAGCACATTCTTAGTCATCTCCTTATCGATGGTGGATGGCTCAGACACAGGGACTGCACCCACATGTACAAGGGAGAAAAAGGGAAAGAAGAAACCAAAACACGAAATGGAGGGAGGGAGGCGGGGGGGGCGAGGGGGGTGGAGGTCGGAAGGTTAACCAGAATGAGTGCGCATGTGCATGAGTGTATTGTAAGCTGTCACCACAACAACCCCCTTTCCACCGAGATGAATAGATACCGAATTGAAACAGCTTTACCTCCATAGCAAACAACATGAAGCACACTAAACTGTTAGGGTGCCTTCTATTTGTGCAGTCCTTTCTTCACTTTCCTTACTTTGCCTTCTTTGGGTTTCCTCTTTGTTTCTTCTTCCAGCTCCCCTTTGACAGTGCTTCCACGCACAAGAGTGTGTGTGTGTGGAACTGTGTTGTCATGTTCACTATACACAAAGTCCACAGAAAAATGCATGACTGAACAAGACTGTTTCCCCGGACTTTCACCAACTCATCAGTAGGTTGAAAGTGTGTGTGTGTGTGCACGCAGGCGCGCGGGCGTGCGCGCGTGAGAGAGAGAGAGAGAGAGAGAGAGAGAGAGAGAGAGAGAGAGAGAGAGAGAGAGAGAGAGAGAGAGAGAGAGAGAGAGGTTCTCTCAGGAACATGGTCAACCCCACAGCAAAAGAAAAAAAAAGGGGTAAAGAAAAACAAAAAAAAACAAAAACGAACCCAAACGGGCTACCTCAGTTGGTTGAGCACGTAAGTGGCACTCAGGAGGTCATGGCTTCGATACCCAACGTCGTCCTTTCGATCCCCGTTGCCTCCTGGGGGTATGCTTCGGGTTCACCAGCGGAGACTATTGGTTTGGGCCTCCTGGATGGTTGTCAAAGTCATTGATTCTTTCCAGCCCGTGCCAGGTATTAGAAGCTTGGGTACTGCTCCCCGCACAAGAGCAGAGATAGGTAGGCGTAGACCCATAACCTTAGGAACTACAGCTACAGATGGCTCCTGTACCTTTTTAGGCATGCATTTACGGGTCCGTTCCGATGGCTCGCTTCGCATGAGCGTCTTTGATAAAGAGGCTGCTTGGGACTTCCCTGTCATTCGTTATCCAAGTGCAACCTCAAACATCCCTTCCCATCAACCGGCCGGTGTGTTCACTGGGCAATTGACCAAATTCGAACAAATCTGTAACAATTGCCAGGACTTTCGAACTGTGGCAACAACACTTACTCGTTGCACGCTTTCACGTGGGCATTCCCCACCAACCCTTGCTAAGGGGTGGACCTGCTATATGCGCTCCCACCAACGTTGTGACGCCCAAACCTCACACCTAGTGCGACTTCCTGATCGGAGTAGGATGTGGGCCTGGAAGTGCGAAAAGGGGTGTGCCAAGGATTTTTGGGAAAGTGGGGGTGGAGTCCCAGGTCAGAACTGAGATCTCCAGTGGCAGAGTTTTTCGGGGGCACGAGTGCAATTTGGCGGAGAGGGCGGACCACCTCTAGTCATAAGGCAGATGGTATGCGCAGGTCACTCAAGACCGGGCGAGCCATTGGTTCCGAGGACGGGGGTTTGTGGGAAGGTCCCTTCGGGGTGGGTGGGGGTCTGACGAGTCGGGCCGTCGAAAGTGGCCACGTGGCGCCTGTTGTCGCGCGCTTGGGTTAGGCCTCCGGGTTTCCGGGGTTCTCGAATCGCCGCGTCGTCGACAATTTCCGCAGGGTGTATAGGGCCAGTAGGGGGCTATGGCTTTCCACGGGACGACGTTGAGTTGGTGATACGGAAGAAGAAGGCGGAAGGGAGGGAAGCTGGTGGAGATAACGACAAAGCCGAGGTGGGTGAAGTAATGGGTGTGGTCCTGAGTGGGGAAATCAGAGCACCGCGGGTCGCTTGTGGTGGCGCAGTGAAACTCCCTAGGACACAGTCGGTTCTCGGTGAGGTCGTTTACCCAGGGGGTGAAGTAGTCTGGGTCGTACAACAACGACTCCGAGCTCTCTGAGCGTGTCATTATGTCATCGCAGAGCTTTGAGACGCCTAAGGGTGGGTCTGTGCCAATTGCGATCACCGCGTGTGAGCACGTGCAGGCCGGTGCGAATCAAGGCGCGCTTACACGTGTTCGTCCAGGATGATTGCTCCGTCGCAGGCCCTGGATGGCCGTATCCAATCAGACAGTATTTCTGTCACCGGTATTGACGAATCGACACACGGGGGCACGTGTAAATGCGCAGATCAAGTCGCGTTTACACGCGTCCTCGCGCAGCGTTCGCTGGGCCAGACACCTGACTGTCTAATCACTCCGTAATTTTCGAGTATGCAATATGCAACAGACACAACAGTCCAATCAAAAGATGAGCAAAAACGAGAACAGGATTACCGATTGCACAAAATTCCTACTCATGAGTGCATCAAAGCCAACAAACAAAGGCAAAGGCAAGGATCCGGTAGAAAGACAAGCAACCAAACATGGCATCCATACATCCATTCATTCAGCAACATACACACACAGTGCATCTAAGATGGAAATCGCGAAGACAAGTGTGAGCAAAAACCCAAGTCCAGATTCCGAAAAACAGAAAACGGGCAGATCGCCCAGAGCCGAAATCAAAATTTATATACACGAGACAGGAGGGAGAAAAGATAAAAGAAACAGCAAATCCACGTCCATCAGCCTCAACTCCCTCTTCCTCTCTCTCCTTCTCCGATGCGGACAGTCCGTCGTCACGCACTAACCCACGAAGCCGTCACCCCGGTTAGTCCTCCCGCACCCGTCAGGTTCGCCCGCGCCCACAGTCCGCCGTGGCCCGCGTCAACCCCGCACGTTTGGCACCAGCTCATTGGGTTGCCCGACTCCTGCTCTACTCACCTCTTACTTCGCTCGTGTGCCGACCCTCTCTGATCGGGCAACCCCGAGCTTCCAACAGCTGGTTAAGAGAGCTAACTAATCGCGCAGCCGGAATTTATAGCGTGCATGCATGCGCGAAGAACACGGAATTACAGGGACTTAGAAGGAAGATTAGAGAGGAAGCGTCTGCGTTTTGTATGACCGGGCCGCGGCATGGGGGACGTAGCCGCTCTCCACCCATCGATCCGATCATGCAGACCGTGGCTACCAAAAACGCAGTAAAATAAAAAGACGAAGGGCGGGAAAGACGAAGCTCAAGAAGAAAGATACAGTTACAATGGCGCCAGCCCAAAATTACAGTTACACACCCGATTAAAGGCGCCGACTAATCAGAATTCCGTTGCAGCCGCATGAAGAAGCGCGTAAGCAAAAGGCGTCGCACGGCAAAAGAAAGTCCTAATTACAAAATTCCTAAATTCCTAACTAATGCGAAAAAGCAAAAGTACAGGATCCGGGAGGAAAGTCCGAAATTCCGAGAGCCATCGCGGCTCGACAAAATTCGAAAAAGAATTCCCGGGCCACACCCAGCTCTGAACTCAGCCATCCGAAAAGAATCGACGCAAAAGACGAAGAAGCGAGGGTACTGATGCAATTTCCCATCCATCCCAATCTCCCGTAATTGGCCCAACCTTCCCAGCTTAGGACCCCTCATTGCAACCGCGCAGAAAGTCGTGCGCTACAGAAAGTGGTTCGTCATAACGTCGCTATCTTACGCATGTGACGCGTCTCTCTCAGTGGTTCCGACGCATGCTGCGATGGTCCTTGTATTATCCAATATCTTCTTCGCCCCAACCATGCTCTTGTCCTTCCCCGGCTTGCTCATCTTTTGCTACCGCATTTTCCACTGTTGCAGTTTCCACTCCTGCAGTTTCCACTCCTGCAGTTTCCACTGCTGCAATCTCCACTCCTACAATTTTCACTGATTCAGTGTCCACTGTTGCGGTTTCCACTGCTGCAGTTTCCATTGTATGAGTTTCCACTGCTCCAGTTTCCGCTGCTGCAGTTTCTACTGCTGCGGTTTCCATTGCTGCACTTTTCAGTACAACAGTTTCCCTAACAGTAATTCCCCCTACTTCAGTTTTTACTGCTACAGCTTCATGTCCTGCAGCTCCAATGCAAAGAGCATCACAATCTCTCTGACGCTCACGTCCTTTGCTCCGAAATCTTGCCCAATGCACCCCCCTCTCATCTTTGTCTGTGCTTGGCCGTAGATGACTGCGTTCCTCCTCACCACCCCTATCTCCTCCACGGTCTCGCTTGTGAACAGACTCTTCAGTTTCCATTGTTCCCATTGTTCCACCTGCGTTGCTAGGTACAAGTTCAGCTTCTGTTTGCAACACCACTACTCCTCTTGTTGTGTACATTCGCGGCATCGTCACTTGTCCGGGGATCAGCAACCTGTTCATTGTCTGCCCTGATTCTCTCTGTGCCTCCTCCACAGGTTGTTGCGGTTCCTTTGTTTCAAACGGCAATATCCGCTCCTATGCCTCCTGCAGACAGTCCATCTGCCTGCAGGCAGCCACCAGTCCCTACTCAGGATGCAGCCGCTGCTCAGAGTACACTCTCGACTCCAGGTACAGCCCCTACTCAGGATGCAACCCTAAACGTTGACGGATTGGAACATGATCTGCCCGGATTGTAGTTGACCCCACAAGGCGTAGACCACATGGGGGATCTGCAAATGGCTGACCAGCATTGTTCGGATGAACCACAATTTTGTGCTCCGCCACGTGCAGACCACATGGGTGATCTGCAAATGATTGACCAACAAACTACCCAACACAGTTTGGTCTTGCAACACCATCTGGGTGATCTGCAAATTGTTGGCCAGCATCTAACAAACCAGCGCGAGAACCTCACCAATCCCTGTGGTCTGACAACAACTAATATTTGTCTTCACATTCTCCATCGCCTGTTTTATACACCATCAGACTTCCTTGCAATCACCCTTCAGCTTGATGCTGATCTTCCCCAACGACAGCCACAGGATTGTAATTATACCAGCGAAGGAGGCTATACCATTGTTGTCCTACAAGTAGCAATGAGGGACCGTCAACTTGAACTACTCAATGCTCGACCAGGTGAGTGGTTTAATCCTGCATCTCACATCTCTGCATGCATTGTGCACGGCCCTGGCCATTACATGGCCATTGTACATGCCTCTGACCACTGGGAGTTGTGGGACAACGGCACCATGGTCCATGCCATGATTGATGTCACTGATTTCTTACAAAATGATGTTGTTTTCTTGCCACAACAAACCGTCCACAATCTCTTTTATGTCGAAGATCATTCCTCTGGCCCCGTGCTGTAGCAAAACAATGTACCAACACTCTGCGACCTTCTCCTTTGCACAACCACAAACACTGTTACACTCGGTTGTAGCCGCCATCGTCTCTATCACCATCACTACAATGACATGGTTTCTGCATCCATGTTTGCAGAGGATTGTCCCACCGTTCCTGATTGCAGGCACCCTCCACATCCGAACACTATATGTCCATTTTGCGGCCATGGGCGCTATACTGAATGCATGCTCTTTTGTGGTGACCGTTCTTCTTTCATTTTGGCCTGCAATCGACATGCCATTTGTCGGGGGTGTATGGCGGGCATGCTCAATGCCACCCGTCGTGGCAATTGTTGCACTGAGAATGCTCAGCTAGGTCTTCCATGTGTTCATCCAGGTCATCCTTATGTCCTCTCTGTCGTCAAGGACAGACTCATTCTTGAGCCTTTTCTTATCCTCTTGTGCCTTCATCTTCACTCCACACTCCATATTTTCTCTTACTTTCCCTTTATCGTTCTTTGTTTGTATGCTCTCTCCTCACCGTGTTTTTCCTCTCTCCCTTCACTCTGCCTCTTTCTCACAGCGTACAAGTGGGCTGTTATGGCACACGGGGATGGGGGCAGCTCGCTCTCAACTTCATCAACGTGGCGAGCCTTGTACGTGAGAGGCACAGTGAAAGGGGAGTCAAAAGAAGAATGAGAAAAATGAATGGTTTCACTGTGCCCTTCATGTTTGTCCTGTTTTGTTTTGTTTTTTATTTTTTATTTTTGTCGTTTGTTTCGCAAAAATTGCGCTCTTTTAGTTCATAGTTATGTGACAATATATACTAGCTAAGCGTCCGCGGTGCGGGCCATGCCCGCAGAAATAAGAAATGTTGTAGCCTGTAGGCAACCTGACACGGACCATTCGCATAAATTGAGACAGACTTAAAAAAAATAAAAATGAATCACAGGATAATAAAGAATAGCCTAAAGTTTAATTCACGAATTAAAAAAGTGACAAATAGAAAAAAGAAAAAAAAGCAGGAGAAAAGGCAAGCAGAGACAGAGACAGACAAAGAGAGAGAGAGAGAAAGAGAGAGAGAGAGAGAGAGAGAGAGAGAGAGAGAGAGAGAGAGAAATGGAGAGATATATAAAAAGAGAGAGAGGGGGGGGAAGCAACAAAAGAGCAAAGAATAAAGGAAGACGAACACGAGTATACGAAGAAAAAAAGTTTCATATGAAGATTTTCTGTTCCGTTACAGTAAGCAAGTGGCCGGAGTATGATCAAGGCACAATTATCGTGTAGTGGAATCAACGTCGACTTAAAAAAACGGAATAATATTACGTCAAAATTATTTAAGTCGTTTCCCTCTCTCTCTCTCTCTCTCTCTCTCTCTCTCTCTCTCTCTCTCTCTCTCTCTCTCTCTCTCTCTCTCTCTCTCTC